CGAACAAACCATGTAGGGTCATAATTAAAAAAAAAAAAAAAAAAAAAAAAAACTGAAAAAAAGCCCCGAAAAAAACAAACTCAAAAGCACTATAAAAGCCTATTCATAGTAGCTTTCGGAGTTCGCCAAATCTTTCTTCGAGTCCGGTGTTTTTGCTAAGTTTTTCGTAACTGGTCCGAATGCGGCGAAACTAAATACAGATATACCCTAAACCTAAAGCACATACATATCAGACAAAAAAAAAAACAAGAAAAAAGTAAAAATTCAAAAAAATATGGCAGTTTCGGTGAAAATTTCGTCACACTTCGTCGAAATTTGGGCCTTCCATTAACCGCTTCTCGCACAGGGGCTTATGGTCAAGGTTGAGGTAGCCTCAGGCAGACAGGAATAAATGGATGGGTGCGCCGTCATCACAAACGAATCTGTTTGTCCATATTGAGTACGAAAATAAGCCATGAAGACTTTCAGGTTCAGGACTATAGTGGAGAAAACTTTTGAGGAGTTTTTCCCTCCTAAAGCAATTATCCTCCTAGCGACCATTGTGTTAGGTTGGACTTACCTTGATCCGTTAGGAGTTGTTGTATACATGTCTGCTAGCGTATTGAGGAATTTCGAGTCTTAGGAGTGACTTGCTTTTTGATACAAAAAATCATTGTGTCCATGTGCTTCATAGAGGTTCAATCGGCTTCATTTACCTGAAACGTTTGTCAATGTTGCCATGACTGAACCTTTTTCCACTCCTTCAAAGCATATCCTTACCCTTGACGCGCCGATTTCCCAAAATCAGTCCTTAAAAACCCTCTTCTCACAAGGGTTGAATCATATTCCCCTTCAACCCATTTCGATTATGCATGTTACCTGGTCCTTTACCGCTGCTTGGGATGGGATTGTCAATCTTGTGAAGTCCATAACCTTCATGCCGCCCCCTTTACCGCTGCTTGGGATGGGATTGTCAACCTTGTGAAGTCCAGAACCTTCATGCCGCCCCCTACCATCAGACTAACTACCGTTTTTGTAAGAAAATAAGTCAAGACCCAACCGTCAACCCTTGGTTTGAGGACGCATTCTGACCCTCCATCTCCACTTGATGTCCACGCGGTGAGATGAGAGATAAACTTTCTCACAAATAGTCATTCTCTTGTATCCATCTGGTGAGGAAGTTAACGTTGGCAAGACTGTTTAGCGGGGATTTTCAACCTATATGGATTCCTGAAATTCATTGTTTATGACAGGGATGTTCGGTTCACGAGTATACAATGGCAAAAGTTGATGGAAGTCTATGGTACTAGGTTACCCATGTTGTCAGGCTGACACCCTGAAATGAATGGCCAAAGTGAACAAATGAATCGTTTGTGCTAACAACTCATGCACGCGTTTGTATGACCCGATCAGATAGATTGGCATGAGAACTTACATAAAATCACAAGTGCATATAATAATAGCATATAGACTGTTACAGGAAGAACACCCAATGCACTGTACAAAGGTTGGAAGCGACGATGTCTCATTGATGCTCTAAATCGGACCAAATTCGGAGGTTACCCCCAGACACTCGTGAATTTGCAGTTTTATATGAAGAAGATATTAAAAAGGTACAGGAAAATATACAAAAAGCCCAACTGCAGATGATTAAGCAGGCCAACAGACATCGTTGGCCATCGTAGTTTCATAAAGGTGATCTGGTGTGGTTCAAATCTAAATAATTTTCCTTGGAAGAAAGCGGATCTCATAAACTACCACCTGTCTATTATGAGCCCTGGGAAGTTCTCAAGGTGATTGGGTATGCAGATGAACCTTCATACCGAACTGATGTACCACCTCACCTCTGAACCTATCCTGTCTTTCACGCGTCTAAACTCTTGCCATATGTAGAGGAAACTAGGTTTTGGAATAGACCATCTATGTTTTCCCCCTCCATGAATGGAGGCTACGAAGTTGAGAAAATTTTGAAAAATGGCTATTTTTTCTACAGGTGGTATAGAACGACCACAGACGCAGTATAAGGTAGAGTTCAAGTCTCAGCCCCCTATTGAAGCTAGATGGTTCAAGAAAAGGAACTCTTACCTACTGCTCCTGACATTGTTGCTGCATATGAACGTGGATGAAAGGAAAATTGATGTATTTTTGTGAAATGCAATAACCCATGCAATATGCCTCGTGGAATGTTTAAGAGCCCCACCAGGCCACACTCAGACTTAGGCCAAGGGGAAAAATGACCCCTACGTAGGCCTGACCAGGCGACAACTAAACAAAGTCAACTGCCTGACGCCCAATGGTCATAGTCAATCTGGACCCATCCCAGGCCGCCGGTCAGACGCACACACTTGTTTGTATGCAAGTACGAAGACAACATCAGGACCAAGTGGAAGTCTGCAACTATACACAATCCAGGCCCTCGATTGTGACTCGTAAGTACACAGGAATTTGTGAGTCAATCTGTATGACTGTGGGTGGGAGACCTGAACACTACATAAGGCTTGGTCTCGAGGAGATCGATATTTAGTCTTGCTATGCTGCCCTGACACTGGCTTGACGCTGGCTGGATGCTGGCATGACGCTGGCTGGACGCTGGTTAGATGTTGCCTTGACGCTGGCTGTGCGCTGGTACTGTGGACGACGATGCGGGACTGTGGCAGCATGCTGGTGCCTTCTCTGCTGAGCGCCAGCCTCTGCTGATGTGGTGCTTGCCACCTGTCTTCATTGCTAATGTGGTGCATGCCACATGTCTTCATTGCTGATGTGGTGCATGCCACCAGTCTACATTGCTGATGTGGTGCATGCCACCTGTCTACGTTACTGATGTGGTGCATGCCACCTGTTACATTGCTGATGTGGCACAGACCATCTGTGTTCATTGCTGATGTGGTGCATGCCACCTGTCTCTATTGCTGATGTGGCACTGGCCATGCTGTCTACATGAGGTGATTGGTCGCGACAAGGAGGGAGATCGGGATCGGTGGATGATTGGGAAACTGGTACTCACCTGAGGTTGACTTCGATATTGTGCACTGGTGTTTGTCTTCATTGTCTCCACAAGAGGACAGTGCCATGTGGCACATCCATGTGATCACGACTTGAAAGACTTGTTACTCGATATCCATATTGATTGATGATGTGGAGGGGAGGGAAAACCCGGAGAAGGGGTGGGTACTGTTTGGGCTACTCTTTTGGTGGTCATTGATTATCTCTTCCACCCTCTTATCTGTCTATTCCCCCTCCACTCTCTTGGTCTACTGGTAAGGAGACATTGTATCAGATATCACTTTCACGATCATTGGACACATTGGGCAGATCTGAGTCAACTTGTACCTCCACATCTGACGAGTATCTTCCAGTCTGGGTTCATTACAGCTATACCGGCGTGGGTTTTATTTATTCTTTATTTTATATATAAAATTATGTATCTGTTTATTTGTTTATTCATTTATTTATTTACTTAACGGGGGTTTTGATTTATGCATGCACGGTTTACTTCGTTGATGTAGGGCTTATTATCCCAGCAACATCCCCGCCCTCCACCCCCGGCCCCCTCTACCCCCCTAACGTGGCATCTTATCTTGGTTTATCTTGGTTTATGCGCGCGTGCTAACCTTGTCTGTGTCGTTTCAATTTTGTGAGAAGTTCCGAAGGATCCAACTTATTCTACTGATGGAAATATCATCAACCAAGCGATGGTGCTTCTCCTTATATTAATACAAGGGGCATGTGGGATAGAGATGAAGGGCAAATAGGACCGCAGTTCAGGACCCTGAGGGGAAACAGGGTGCGAGGCCCACCACACCGACCCAGAATGGGCACTGCAATAGCCAAAACCTCAAACACAAACACAGAAAAAAAGGCTGAAGCCAAGAAAGCCGCAGAGGTGAAACACATGAATATGTATACATCAAGACGGGTGAAGAGTTACCAGTGAAAATAAGAAAGAAATAACTGCCTCTGATTCATGTTTTGACGCTCACTTTCTTGAATCTCTGCCTGAGTGGCGGCCCCGAGGATGAGAAAGACAAAAGATTGAGGGCCCTATGTGACACATTTGCCCCGTTTGGAGGGAAATGAATAGAGAGGTTTTGTGGCGGGGAGGTTCTATAACTTTTCGCAAAGATTAACGAATGGCATGACACTGCTCTCACTAAGAATACGTCATCTCGTAACACTCCTCTCATAAACACTATGCCATTGGTTCTCGTTGGTCAGGTAACAGAATATGATTGCCACGCTCTATTATTTCGTTTTGAGCCAGCCACGCTGGGGGCGCAACGAGCTCCGGACTGCCAAAAAAAAACATGCCCCCCGGGAGGTTAGGTACAGGTACTCACGAGCCAGGTTCGGAGAGGCAACAGATGCACGGCGCTACACACACACACACACTCGCTTGCACACACTACCACACTCTCTCTCTCTCTCTCTCTCTCTCTCACACACACACACACACACACACACA